TATTTAGGTCCATTTTAGATACTCTGTAAGGAATTTCCTTGTCCTGATGAAAGTTCTTCCCTGGCTTTTTTTTTTTTTTTAAATATTTATTTTTGGGTTTTTTTTTTTTAGGTGGACACTATATCTTTATTTTATTTGTATGTGGTGCTGAGGATCGAACCCAGCGCCCCGCGCATGCCAGGTGAGCGCACTACCGCTTGTGCCACATCCCCAGCCCTCTTCCCTGGCTTTTTACTTTGTCATGTCTTAAAATGGCACAGAGTTTGGGTGTAATTTTTGTTACATGTTTATTCTACTGATAGGTGTTGTTCTATTTTACTTGGCACTTTGTTTCCGAAAAAGCTTTCCCCCCTTTCCAGTCCTATATTTTTGTTATGAAATTCATTGAGAGCATTTTTTCTCATGTCAAATCATAGCCCAAACTGACTTTACTGAGGGGTATCAAAAGAGCAACCAAGAGAGAAAAAAAAAAGTCGTTCAGTATTATTACTTCTTTATAATTTATTGTATGAAAAATGTTTAATTTTTAAATGCTCCAAGGTTTAGAGATAGTAAAGCTGATTTTTATCTATTGCTTTATTGATAATAGTATTCCATTTATTGAGTGGCCACTTTATGCAGGACACAATGCTACCTCTATTCAGTTTCAGAACTGAGTAAATGGGACAGAGCTGCATGCAGTTTTATGGTTCTGTGAAGTGCAAGCTTTTTGTAATTTCATGGTAATTGATAAGCATGTAGGACATGTTGGGTGCTCTTTCCCACGTACTATATACAGAAAACAAAATTTACATTCCATAAAAGTGAAAGGCATTTACTCACTTTTCTGTTCTTGGAAGATGTGGTAGGTTCAACTTGATTTATCTTCTACCTTAAATTGTACCAGCCCTGCTTACTAATTACAGGGCATTCGTCCACATTTATTTGCTCCCAACAGGAACCACAAATTGGAGGAGAAGGAATGGTGGGAGCTGGCCTATCATTTGAACAATTGAAACAGCTGCAGCGATTTGATCCATCCGTTGTGCCATTACAGGATACTGACATTGATTCTCTCAGAGATGCCAGAATAGAAGACATGATTTGGCTGGCAAATAAGGATTGTATAGGATTTTTTATTGCAAAATTTCAAAAATGCAAAAGCACATTGGAAAAGGATCCTCAGAAATAAAAATTCCAAACATTTGTTATTGTTGTTTTTTTTTTTTCCCCTTAAATTGTTGTCAAGCCAACTGAATGATGTCCTGGTAGCTATGGTAACAGAGAAAGCTGCCAGTAGTTTAACCAGAGATCTGAAAAAGAGAAAGTATGTGTGTTTGGGGAGGGGAGGCTGAAATTATATTCTGAGTTTATGAAATAATTTTTTTCTCTATGTATTCAGTAGAATATAAATAAAAGGAGCTATGGATGTCTGGAACATTTTCATGTAGGGTCTTAATTTATAAAGAATATCAGTTATATTTAGTATGAAAAAAGTGGATCAAACCAGTGGAATAAAATTAGCAATATTTAATGTGGTTATTTAAAAAGTTTTCTGTTCCTAGGATCCTAAGTAGTTGTTTCCTTAATTCAGGGCCTGGGTCATACAACATTTACCATGTGCCAAGAACCAAGGGAAGTATTTTATCTTACTTTTTCTCCTTATTATTTGGTAAATCGTCTTTTAAATGAAGTTTGGCCTTTTCTAAATGATTTTACTTTTTTGTTTAAAGACTGAGTATTTTCTTTATGGGTAAAATAAATGAGAACATTCCACATTCTGGGTACCTTTATCATCTGTTGGACCACATTGTACAAGTTTTTTAGAAAGTGCTTGGTAAGAATGAGAAAACCAGCTTCTGATAACAGGTTGTCACAGCTGGATCTTGTTCTATTGAACATAACCAGTTTCACAGGACAACTATGTTTTTGACTGATCAAGACAAAAAAAGAACACTTCCTATAAAACCTGAATTCATGCAAAAAATAAGATCACCATTCAAACTGCAAAAATGACCAAACATACTACTGTGGTGGCCAGAGTATCTACTTCTTAAAAAAAAAAAAAGGCTTGCTTCATTCTACCCAGGTGTTTTTGTGTGTGTTTTGGGGGGTGGGGTGCTGGGGATTGAACCCAGGGCCTGGTGCATGCAGGGCAAGCACTGTACCAATGGAGTTATATCCCTTTACCCAGTTTTTAGATAAACTCTATAAATACTCAAGACCCAACCAGAGTTTAAAGGCTGTCTTATTTGTTAAATACATCAGACTGTTTTGTTAGCTTTCATTCAAATCTCTCAAAATGTTACTGGGCCTTGGGTATAAGAAAGGAACTATTGGAAACAATTCCCTAATATTTGATTCGTTTTTTCCCTCATCAGTTCCTTTAGGAATTTCTCATAACTACTTATTGTATCCATAATGATTGCAAGGCCTCTTGGATCAGGTAGGTAGTAAGGTCTCTTCCTTGAACAAATCTTTCTTGGTCACACCCTTCTGAGTTCTCTTTGTGTATATCTCTGGTACCCATATCTTATGCTGTCATGGTACCTAGTACTTTGGCTTACCAGCCCTGTCCTGAGCCCCACACTCCCATGCTTGGAAAACATGTTGAAAATGGAGACCCCCCCTTTTTTTTTAATTGGGTCATTGCTTCAGAGTAGATAGTTAATAGATGTTTACTGAGAAACAATTTATTTCAAGCTTTATAGGATTAAAATATGTGACCCCTGCACACTCCTCATTTGGCCTAGTGTCGAGTAGATGTTATTTTAAAAAACATTATTTCTTGTGATACTTCTGTAACAGGGCTCCACATGCTCCCTCACATTTTAAATATTTCCTTTCATGCTGTCTGAAAAGCCTTAGCTGGGATGGTCATGGTAGAAGAGCAGTGTGGCAACAAACTTGTATGAACTTTGGATCAATACCAGTAACTCTCAAAATATAACTAATGCCGGTGAAATAGAATAGATATTTGTATATTTAAAGCAGTAAGAACAATAATATTGTTGAAAGTTTTCCTTTAACCTAGGTGATTTTCAGTGGGTGTTTTTCCTTCAAATAATTACAAATTGGAAAATGTAACTGTTCAATTTTAAAGAACACAAAAATGTAAGGAAAATCAGAAATGTAGGATAGAATGTATCTTTTAATATATTTTTAAAAATACTTGAATTCAATAGTATATTACTTTAAATCCTATCATATTTTACTTTAAATCACAAAATGAAGTACAAATAGTTAAAAATAAATTTTGGCAGAAATTAAAGTGTTTTCTCTAGCAGTGCAACTCCTGTTTTAATAAGAGCAGAGCATCTAAGACTAGTAGCAATACATCACTGAGCAAAAGAAAAAGGATGAGAAATGAAATACATCATAAAGATGGATCTTCTTCTTAAAACGTAATCCCCAAATCATTGCACATATTAAGGCAGGAGGAAGATCACTGTTATAGCTCATATCTTAACAAATCCTTTACATACCTTAATTTTTTTTTTTTTTTAAATCCAGCATAATGGATAAAGGAACATCAAGTAGTTAGCAGTGCTCCTAAGGAAGATGCTCCACCATGGGAAGGGTTGTTGAATATGTAACAAGTTCTTAAAATCATTCCTAAAATTGGCAATTAATACTACTACTAATAAACAGTGCAGAAGCCAGCTCTTTATTTGTTTTATATGAATGACTTTAAACCAGGTTTGTTGAACAGTTCATTGTAGCTGACAGTGCATGTTTGTTTAACAGGAATGCATAGCAGACCATGTTAAAATGTGGCATTGTCCCAAAGTACAGTATGACTAAGACATCCTACATTTAGCAGCACCTTTTTGTAACAGTAACTTAAATAAGCAGTAGAGAAAAGCATAGGAAAAAATCAAAATGGGTATGACAAAGACCAGTAAAGAACATTTCCAGCATTTTCTAGGTTGACTACAAAAATCATGGTTGTATAAATGTATAGGTTAAGATTAAGCCTCTGCTGTGTGAAGACTAATTTTACATTCCACAAGTCAGTAAATATCCCATTGTCCTTGTGATTATTTCTTCATTTATAGATGTGCTACACACATTTATGCATATGCCCACTATACAGTTTTCACATAAATGCTCTATCAGATTCTTCAATATTTTTATTTAAGGAATACTCTAATTTATACTAATGTGTTCCACAGTCAAGTGAGAAACTAAGAATCAGGGACAAAATTAAAAAGATGAAATCTATTAGCACTATTGATAGCAGCAGGAAAGGTAAATGCCAGTTATACTTCAAGAATTTCAGAATTCCAAAGTCGTTAATTGGGATGAACTAACATGTAAGAAAGGAATGGATTGGTAATTAATATCTTAGTGTGTGTTTTAAAAGAAATTTAAATTGGAATATATTTTTTTAATCATGTAAAGTTATGTCAAAACTAATGACTATATTCTGTAAATTTTTATAAGCAGTACAGAAGACTAATTCTGAAAGAAATTTTTCACTTAGATGATAAAACAGTTTTAAAACTCCAGTATTCTTGGGTGTAGGGGAAATAATGCCCAAGAATATTTGGCAAGAACTTGGAATAATTAAGAAAGCAAAACAAAAAATAAATTACTATAATTATTATTGTTAAATAAATTAATGTACAGATCTGAAGTTAGGCAATATAGATAGGCATTTCCTGGGACAAGCTTCAAGTGCTAGGTATTTGCACACCTAATACTGTCTTAACACTTGAGAAACAGAATTTTTTAGCATTAGCAAAATAGCATTGGAAGCTCCTACAGCAGTATAATTGAGGCATGGAGATAGTGTCTTCTAGATTCCCCTTCAGATTAGATGTATGAAAATATTAACATTTCATTCACTTCAAGTCACCCCATTTTGCCCTGATAACTTCTGAAGAGCAGAAACTTTGGTTATAAGAAGCACTTCTGGGTTCTGACGGACAGTGAAACTATTCAAGTTGGTGGTGGGAGGAACGGTAGGTAACTAGGAGATAAAAAACAAGATTAATAGGCAAGGTTAGAAAATGAAGTGGGAGAAGTTATAAAAATTTATTTTACTATGAAATACTTCCACAAGCTGTGTAAACATTTCTTACTAAAACAAATACTCTAACACACAAAGATTGGATATTTCCAGTGAAACACTCACAGTAAAAGTTGCCTGTATTTTTACTCTCTAGGAGCAAAAATAAGGAGCCAGCAGATGAATGCTTTCCTAGTTACCTTTGGCAGCAAGCTTCCTCACCTTCCCTGACTTCTCAATGGATTATTAAAGCAACATATAGCACGATTAAGTACAAAGCCAGGTGAGAATTCTAGATAGCAGACTTTAGTTTCTTCATTAGTCTTCAGCATCTCAATCATCTCAGTCACTCGTGCACATTCTTACGTACAGACACATGCACACAGCGGGTTCCAGCTCTCATACTCCAGTGCCGTGACTAGCTCCTAAGTATGTGTTTGTCACAATCTGGGTGAACTGTATGGAGTAGAACAATCTCTGGAGTTTGGTTATATTTACCATAATTTATGATTAAAATTATAAACTTACAAGGATGGTAGAACATTCAGAAATCAAACCTTTTTAAGTCAAGCAATCACACATATTTACATTATATACAGACTTTCTTTTAGAATGGGGAGAGGTGTCTAGACAACATTATTACAAATTTCCTGAATGTGGGCATTTCTAATCCCTGTAATTCATAAAGCAAATCTGCTGACTTGGCATTAAGACTCTAAAATAGTGTGATCAAACTGATATATATATATATATATTATATATAATAAGGTGTTTGCAGAAATAACATTTACAAACTGTCTATACAGTACACAGTACTAGTACATAGAAAATAGAATCTAACTTTATGATCCCCTTTGTATAAGGCAAGACTGAATCTGTCCCCAAATTTAGTCAGCCAGAGGTACAAGCAAGAAACAGTGGTCCATGAATGAATGAATATGCCCATCAGGTATCTGGGTATTAAAAATCTGGAGAACCAAGAAATTCCACTTTTTAATCTGTGCTGCATCTGGCTTGCTGGATGTACATCAGCTACATTTCTTAAAACACCAATGTCGTCTGGACGGCAAAAATTTTGTTCATGTGGCAGCTACCCCAAACAGGTTTTGAAGAGTCTAGTATACAACCAGAGAACAACTGCTGTACCAGGCCAGTTTATATAGCACTTCCAAAAGAAAAGAATGGATATTAATACTCTATTTCATGCTATTGCTATTTAAGCAACAGCAATACAAAATATACAAGACAGATCACATGTGATTGCAATGTAGACCCCAAAGATTTTGTTTGAGGGGACTTGAGGGAGGGGGAGACAAAGGGCAAAAGTCATTGGCGGATGTAAACATCCCTATTCCATTCCCCAGCATCATTCCGCTTTTTGGATATTACTTCTCCATCCTTGTCACAGTAGCGATCCTTGGATTTATGACGGCTTCGTTGTTTGTTGCACTCATTGTGGTCCTGCTCTCGGTCTATGTCCCTCGAACGGTGCCGAGACTCCCTATGTCTGTGGTCACTGCTCCCATGGGTCTCATCTCTGTGGTTATGGTCACGATGTGGGGCATAGTGGTCCACATGTTCATGGGAATAATCTTCCTTTGGCTCCACATAGGCAGAGTCTCGACTCTCCTGGGTTTCAGAGTCAAAAGTCTCTTGCCTGGAGAGCCCTCGACTTGTACCACTGCGATGGTTGTGGTGTGTGGCAGAGGAGGAAGAACGATGCTGGGATTTCTTGACTGGTTCCAAACAAGGTTCTTCTTCAGCTTGGGAAGCAGAACGGGCAGGAGCTGAGCGATCAGTCCTCTGATCACCTTGAGAACCCTGGCAGTGAAGGGAATATGCAGACATTAACCAAGGTGAGTGTGTAAAGAACTAAGATGCAAGGCCATTCAGGTGTAGTTCTTTTTACATATCTGAAATGTTTAACCTAGGTCAAGTTACTTAGTTCCTTTGATAGTGTCACTGTTAAGGTTTGTACTATATTAAACTGGACTTTATTGTGTGTGGAAAAGCAAACATACTAACCTTTTTTTTATTATTTTAATGACTAATTGAAGGAGGGAGAAAGTTTTTATATATTGTAGTTCCAATGCAGGTGCAGGTCTGAGGTTTTTCTATATGTGGGTATACACTTCACAGCCTCTGTTGGAGTACATGTGAGTGGATTAAGAAAAAAAATAATTATGAAATGCTCAAATGGGACATGCCTGCATAGATACTCTTTACCTTAGTTCTAGGATGGTTGTACTAATCTCCGGGGGGGTGGGGGAAAGATATGTTCACTTGCCATTATAATTCCAAGTCCACTGAGGCAAGAGCAGTTAAGGAACTTGCCCAGGGTTGTCCAGGTGGTCTTTTAGGATCATGCAGTTAGTTTTAAAGTCTGTATATGTTGTGTTCATAGTGCTTCTCTTCAGGTATACAACTTGGTGAACTTGAGAATCCAAGTGACTCACACTTCTTGTCTTAGTTAGGATAGCATTAGTACACTACAGCAGGCAGTGCTATCTGGGTTTGGGTCACAGTGGTGTCACCTTTGGCATCCCACTTTCTCCATACAAGATAACTCCCCTTACCTGTGAGTTAGAGGCTAGGGTGGGGCTCAGAGTTGAAGTGGCTAAGGTACGGCTAAGGAGAGGGTTGGGGAGGTTGCTGCTGGGAGGATGAGTGGCCTTCCAGTAGGCCTCCAGATAGTCAGCAAGGTGCTCACAAGCATCTTCAAGCTGGTTCTCATCCAGGATCACATCAAACAACTCCTGGGGAGGCAAATATTTAAATAACACACTAGCCCAGGACTGAGTTCCCACCACCCTCCACCTACTAGGGAGGAAGAGACTGATAAACCTGCACCACTTGATTTGCTTATGTGTTCTTTTATAAGCTAAGACAGCCAACAGAAATGTGGCACCTCAAATCCTTGTGTAAAACACTAAGTGAACAGGTGTCATAATAGTTGGTAAGGGTATAACAGTAAGGTTTATCAATAATGAAAAACAGTGAACTATGATAGGAGATATGAGAAAGAATAAAAATCTGAACAGTATAGGAAGAAGCCTGTTTTTGACACAGTGACTGCAGAAAGGTTTAATTTAGAAGTTAATGAGGTAATATCAGGATGTGAAATTTGACAAAAGCTGCTGAAGCACTCACAAATTGGCATGATTCAAACTTCATAGTAGTTTGTTAGAAAATACATGCCTCACTGTTAAAGGTTTTTAAAAATGTTTGTTGTTAATTTTAACATACTTCAAATCAACTTGATAACTTTTATAGCAGCACTTAATGGGGCAGGTAGAAGGAACTAGAAGAACTTTAATAGTTCCAAGGCAAATTATCCACTTAATGGATTAATAATTTGAATCTCCAGCCCAAAGAAACAGTTGGCTACCATGGACTAACCTTCTGAACCTTGAGCCAAAATAAATTTTACCTTCTTTAAGTTGTGATTTTTAGGTATTTTGGTCACAGTACTAAAAATTCCTTGGACAATTAAGAGTAGACAACTGGCTCCCTTTATTTGCTTCTGATCGCTCCCTTCTGTGATCAGAAGCAAATAATACACCAACCCCAAAGAGATCCGTCTTACAAATCAACTATGAGGCTGCAGTCTTGTAGTTGATATTTAAGTGAGTATACCATAAAGATGCACATAGGATTTTGTAAGCCATGATCATTATCTGGCTTATTAATGTGTTCAAAATGTGATCCAGGAAGCAGACAGTTTTTCTTTGGAGACAATACCACTGTAAACAATTAGGATTCTCTTCCCTGACAAGCATTTATTGCTTTTCCAATGAAATTCCAGGTCTGATGTCTTCAACTGGATTCTCCCATATACAGACAAAACTTACTGGAGGGCACTGAGCCAGTTTATCTGCTGCTACCATCTGGACATTGAGGTGTTTAGCTTGGGATTTCCCTCGAGATTTTATTAACCTTTGTAAAACCTGTAAAAGAGACAAGTTTTCAACAGAGGAATCTCTTCACTCAGGTAAACTAAAAGGTACATTAGTGACTCCTTTATCTCGGGACCTTTTTATATATAACACATATGTTTATAAATAGATTGAGCTATAAAAGACAAAATCTCTACAAAGTCAGTATGCTAACATAAATCTTATTTGCATCTTTGCATAGAGCTTACTGTGTCCTTTCTAGCCTAAGTTTTCAAACTGTTTGCTTCATGACCTCTTCAGGTTTTTAAAAAAAATCAAAAACCCCAAGAGCTTTTATGTGAAATGGAAATAATAAAACAGCTACAATTAAAAATTTTTTTTTGTAGTTGCAGATGGACAGAATGACTGTTCATTTATATGTGGTGCTAATGATCGAACCCAGTGCCTCACACATACCAGGCAAGCGCTCTGCCACTAAGCCACAGCCCCTAAAACAGCTATAGTTTTTGTCATAGAATACAATTATTCTGTATGCTTCTACAATGTATCATTTTGGTTGAAATATGCAAGAAAAATTTAACCTGCTACACAGTGTAAAAGGAGGAACATTTTAGTTGCACCCTTTTAGATAGGTGATATCCTTTGATGCTAAAATTCAACAAGTCGTCTCGCCTTTAAAGACTACTTGATATGTATTATCTGAAACCATATCACTGAACTTCTCTCTCATTAATTCCACTGGTCTGTCTGAAAATTTGGATGTTTGTAACATCATTTACTCATCATTTGGAAAATAATGGTTCACTGAGTTGATCAGATCTTCCCAAAACTGTTGACATTCATATTGAATTAAAACATGATACATGTTATATGCTCATTGGTAACAAATGCTGTTGTTCTCCTTGAAGTGATTGGCTTATTATGTTCAAGAAAATACTGACTACGTACAAACGGTATTCCATGGGGGGCGGGGAGAGTAGCTAACTTTGGCATAGCCTGTTCTAATTGGAAAGCAAACATAAAACACATTTTAGTAAAATCTGGTTATAGAAAATCTAGCAGCAGTGTCCTCATAAATGCTTAATTTTCATTACACAGACTCTAGACCCACAATTTAACTATAATAACATGACAGTAATACAATGACTGTTGGTGCTGTTTACCCATAGTTGCTTTTTATCGTTTATGCAAATATCTTTAAGGTTTACCTCATGTATCCACTGAAAGTGTCTCAACCCACCAGGGATCTATGGACCACACTTAAGAATTACTGCTTTAACCCATTACACTAGTGGTGTTTTGCTTATATCAATCATAAAAATTCCTGATAATATATTTTTTCAACCTCCACACCCATCATAAAGGCATAGCCTGTTCTAATTGGAAACAAACACAAAACACATTTTAGTAAAATCTAGTTATAGAGCTAACAGCAGCAATCCTCCTTACCTTAGGAGACGAAATCTTTACATACACTATGATAGGGGCCAAAGATGTTTTACTGAGTTGAGCTGGATGATTAATAGTATCCGCATCAAGAACTACCAGTTGCAATGTTCTTGCAAGTTCAAAGATCCTTTCGATTTCACTCTGAACTTCCGCTGTAAAAGGGTAAGCAGAGTTCAGTTATTTAAAAATGTCATTTTAAATGCTACATTATTTCTTCAAAAGGAAGGTCAGATCAGCCAGTTTGTGTTTATAGGCAGCACAATTTTGATCAGTTATTTTTTGAAAAGAGCTATTTCTTTATAATACCTTAAGAATTTCTAAAATTTCCTTCAGCATAACACTGAGAGCCAAATGTTTTTGCTCTCTGCTGACTCATTTTTCATTCTGTGGAATCATAAAACTATTATATCTTTATTTCTAACCACTTCACCCTAGCAGCCATTGCCAGCTTTCCTGTCATTGCATGAGCTTATGTACATTTGTGTCCCCTATGATCATGCTGTTGAGATTTTATTAGCAAGCTGAACCACATGAAAGGTACCTATTACAAACTGTCCCCAAACACAAGAAATGGTCCTGCAACATTCATGCTTTATAAGGGCAGTTATCTATTAGAAGCAGCACTCAAAAACCTAAGCTATCACCAAACATCTAAAAATCTACTTGAGAAGCTAGGGATATAGTTCAGTTGGTAAAGTGCCTGCCTTGCATGCACGAGGCCCTGGATTCGATCCCAGCACCATAAAACAAACAAACAAAAAAGATCTACTTGAACTCCAAGAAATTGCATTCAGCTCATCTACTACTCTATGATCTCTCCAAAGATTCTAAAACCTGTGATGATGAAAATATTATCCATGCTGCCTAATATGGTAGCCTAGCTGCAGGACACTTAAAATATAGCTATTATAAATAAGTAACTGAATTTTTTAAAGTTTTATTTTAATAATTAGCCAGAAGCTGCTAGACTGCATAGGCCTGTAAATTATAACTTGTAGTTTTCACTGCAATTATTGGAAGATCAATTTATAAGACTCCTTTAAGCCAGCAAACTTGATCCTATGAATACCTTTGATTCCTCTTATGCATCTGCATTCATACCAGAAGATTCCTAGAAATAATTTTAACTGGCATATTATTCCAGAAAAGCAAGTCATTAATCATCTGACCTCACAGTGTTATAAATAGAGACCTCTTATTTACCTGAACTTCTTTAAGGAACCAGAGCTCAACATACTAGCTTTAAAATAATATTTGGTGACATAATGCCCATAATAAGGTCTTGCTAAAAGAAAAAAAAAATACACATTGAACTTCCAAATTAACTAGTTTGTAAGAAACAGACTCACATAAATTATCTCAGTGTAATACAGTTAGGAAAATTTGGACTGTCAGTGCCTTACAGAATAAGTGACAAGGAAAAGATGTATGCAAACCTGAGATTTAAGAGATCTGTGAACTATGATGTATAGATTTCATTTGAATCCTGATTTAGTCAAGTAGTAATTATAATGCACAAATGAAGAAACTCAGCAAATTATGTTCGAGATTTGCTTCTAAATATCTAGGGATGGTTGTTGATGGAAGAAGGGGCCGAACTATAAATGAAACAGGAATAGTGTCTTTTGCTTTGCAGCTACTTGAGAAAAGTATTCCTGGCATGCTAAAGTACCACATCCATCATTCTGCTAAAACGTCACTTCCTCAGTGAGGCCTTCACACTATAAAATTGTACCCTCCTCAGCTTACTCTACTCCCTGGCCTGGTACTACTTCAGGACTCATCATCCATTGACTAATGAATGGTCTGTAAGTTTTTTACCTTGTCTCTCCAATGAGACAAAAATCCCTAAGACCAAGAATTTTGTATCCTTCTGTGTATCTGGCACTTAGAATAATGCCTATCACATGGTTGGTTCCCAAGTATTTGTTAAATGAATGGACACAAATCTCTACATGGTTCCCTAATACCTTAAGCGCCTTAATATTTTACCCTTGCCTATTCTTTGAATGATACGCTGCTTCAGCCAAAGTGAAACATGTTTATATATATGTATATTTTAGTTGTTGATGGACCTTTATTTTTCTTTCTTTATATGTGATGCTGAGAATTGAACCCAGTGTCTCACACATGCTAGGCGAGCACTCTACCACTGAGCTACAATCCCAGCCCCGTGAAACATGTTTTCCAGAAGCCTCTTGTTAGCTCTCACTGTCCCAAATCGCCATCATTCCCTTTTTTCTTGACTGAAGTACCATGCTTCAAGTCTCAGCTCAGACCAGCTTCTTAGAAAACCTTCCCTTATGGCTTTTGTCCTCTACTCCATTGAGCTCTTATGTTTACCTTATTGCCATTAAGCTCCTAGGAGGAAGGGCTTTATCCAATTCATCTTTTTATTTGACTCTTCAACATAGTGGTTAGATACCATTTAAAAATAATGTATACACAATAGCTTTAGAAAGCAATGATAATCTAAATGCATCTCATTAATTCAATAGTAAGTCTAATTAGTTAGCTATCAGTTGAATCTATGAAAATGATCATTTTATAACAATTCCTGTGAGCAGCCAATAATGAGAGTAGTTGACAGATAAGGATTCATTGGTGAAGAATTGTTTGATAAGGGATAAAACAGTTTTATAAAGTACCATAACTAACCTTTGATTTCTAGTAGTTTTTCTACTTACATAATCTTACATCAGAGTAAACTAAAAACTTCTCTGTTAAAAGCTTGCATCCCAAAGGATTTGTGTATTTAATATATAAATGAAAAAGAACTATCTAAAGGTTAAGTATCTCACATAACCCTTGGAAAATTTACTTTATAAAAATATAAACCTCACAATCCAGTTAAATGTGTATCAGTGATTAAGCATATGTTTCAAAGAGATGAAATAGTTGGGAAGGGTCTGAATTTAATCAGTATAGGTTAATAAGCAATTTTCAGACACTACTCTGTAAACAAATTAACCAAAACTCCTATACTATTTTTACAAATAAACGATATTGGTGTCAATGGAGAATAGCCCTGAATTTACTTCCTCATTCTTACCACGTACACAAATTACATTATTCTGAATATGATTTCATTATTGATAATTCAAATTCTCAGCTCCTATTAGTGAAAACAAACCACAACCAAAACATCAGTACTGACAGCACGTGGAATTTTTAACTTGAAATATAAAAAATCTTTCCACACAATAAAATCAAGATTGTACCACTAGCTACTGACAACATATGCCCCTTTGTTTGTAGAGTACATGGAATCATCATCTGGCTAGATCTCTTCATTGTCATTCTTAGGAAAGCAATGTTCACATAGCTTCAGCTCATCAGTATTGCAGACTTACCTAAGCTTGATCTTGTGTTGGATCTTTCTATTATTGCATGCTTACTGGGATTGTTTAATACTGAGCGTTTGGCAAGGGAGATGTCAGCAGTGACCCTTGTGATAGATATCCTGTTGGAGAAAAAAGTAACAAAAGAGCCTAAGGTTGTTAATCTTACAAAAGGGAATTGAAATATTTGCCCAATCTTCCCAAGAATGAAATATATATAATTTTTATATAACTATTATATAACTATTTTCCAATCCTATGTTAGGATACTTCATTGTACCTTTTTGCTTATCCTGTACTTGCCTCACTTAACATTTATTGGTTGTTTACAAGTGCTAGATATGTACTAAACACTTTACATGAATTTTCTGATTAAATTATTCCAAAAATTTTTAGGAGAGAAGTTTAGTGTGTATTTACTAAATATACAGATTTAAACCCAGACTTCTGAGCCTATATTCTTAGGCCCTGCACAATATGTAATCATGAAAAATAAATAAGATCAAGGCAAATCTGATCTTCCTTCTAGTGGCAGAGATAAAGAATAAAAGCAATGAAAGATTATGATGATTATTGTGAAGAGAACATATAACGTATTGTTACAGTGAGTGAATTGAGGTAGGTTCATTTTAGATAGGGTAGAAATGAGCAAAAAGATCTGGAAGTGGAAATAGTAAATGATATATTCCAAAAAAGTATTCAATGAGTGTCAAACAAATTCAATGAAACAAAATTGAATGCTGACAACATCTTTGAAGAGGATGGTGAAGGTAGGACTGATTTAAAAATCAGTTTTGCACCACTAGCTACTGACAGGCCTGATTTAAAAATCTGCTTCAGAATTAGAGCTCGCCACAAAAAGTGGCCAGGTGGGAGTTCTTTTCCTATCTTGTATGAGACCACAAATTATCCACAGGCAGAAAGAGTGCCACTGATCAGTGAATTTTGGTAGCCAGGCTTATGTTTATATCCTCGAGGTGTAAGAAAGGAAGATTGGGCAAACTGCCAAATAATAAAGGCATAAAGATGTGAGCTGGGGTTGTGGCTCAGTGGTAGAGCACTTGCCTAGCATGTGTGAGGCACTGTGTTTGAGTCTCAGCACCGCATATAAATAAACAAACAAATAAAATAAAGGCCCATTAATAACTTTAAAAAATATTATATATACAGGCATAAAGATAATGTATATTGGACGTCTTCTATGTAAATTATCCATCAAGACTGTCCCATAGGTGAGCACAAAATCGGCAAACTCCACTACCAGCACAGAACTTCTAATTAATTAATTTGAGACAGCAGTGTTTACTAGGCATCTTAGGAAAACATTTTACATTAGGGGCCACAACAAACAGAAAGGTCATCCATAATAAGGAATTATTATCTACGAAACTGGAATAAAGTTGTTTAAAAACAAAATAAGGAAGATGTTTTAGAAATTAAAAGTGACAGTAGGAAGCAAAATGTAAAACAGAGTTAAGGGCATCTTTAACAAAAAAGCCAAAGAGATAAAACAGAAGAAAGCTAAGAAAATTAGAACTGCCCAGGAAGTTCAAATTCCAAAGATTAAGAGTTGAGAGAGAATAGGTAAAAGGAAATAATTCCAGAATTAACAGTCTGATTTTTCAAATTGAAAGCATCTATTGTAGTGATTAAAAGATCTACACTAAATTTTATAAATTTCATAATATATATGGGACAAAGAGAAAACTAAAAGTTTCCAGAAGAAAAACAGGACAGGAATTGAAGTGCTTTGTATTTCTTAAGAACAACAATGGAAACCAGAAGTTAATGGAACAAAGGCTTTCAAAATTCTAAAGGAAAGCTATTTTAGTCAGAAAGCCCTGACCATTTAAGTCAACAGTTAAATGGGAAGGTTGATTATAGACAGTTTTAGGGCTGAGGTTGTGGATGAGTGGTAGAGTGCTCACCTAGCATGTGCAAAGTGCTAAGTTCCATTCTCAGCACCACATAAAAATAAATAAATAAAATAAAGGTATTGTGTCCAACTACAACTAAAAAAATAGACATTAAAAAAAGATTTTTTTAGACATTTCGGGTATACAGTTTTATGAGTTTGTACCAGTTTATAGAATTCTTCGTCCATCAGTGCATTCATGACACACAGAATTATCTAATGACTCCACAGTTCCCTTGTGCTGCCCCCCTGTAGAGAATCCTTCCTCCTGTCCCACTCTGGCAACCATAAAACTATTAACTGTCCCCATATGGTTTTGACTTTTCCAGAATATCATATAAATAGAAACATATATTTAACTTTTCAAGTTGAGCTTCTTTTATTTTACCTAACAGATTTGAGATTCATCTTCATTGCTGTAAGTCTACTTGATTTTTAAAATTTTGGGGCTTTGATGAAAATTTGAGCATTTAAAAAGCAACAACTAAGCCTGGAATTGTAGCTCAGCAGTAGAGTACTTACCTAGTGTGTGTGAGGTCCTGGGTTTAAGTCCTAGCACCACAAGAACAAGAAAAACAACAACAACAAAACCCAATAATAAACCCATGAATTTAAAAAATAATTTATTATTTCAGAATGCATTCACAAGTGAAATCAGGCTAGAGGTAGGAAGAATCATTGCTCAACGATTATTATAAAATTCCTGTTTACTTGGGGGTTGGTGTGGAATGTAAAGGGAATTTTCAGCTGTAATGCATGTAATAGGACTCCTTTATTCTGAATACCTGCATAGTGCAAAGATAGTCATTACTTCCATCCATATTTGTGGAGTACCAATTATGTGTCGATCATTATTCTAGGTGCTGTTATGGAACTTACATTCTTACAGAAGAGGCAGAGAATGGAGAGAAGCAAACAGATATCTGATGTCAGGTTATGATAAGTGCCACTGGCAATGCAGAATAGTAAGGATGAAGATGGGAATGCTGTGAAGGGTTTAATTAAATGTTCAGAGATGATCTTTCAGGTAAGGGGACATTTGTTGGAGACCTGAGGGAGGGAGGGAATGACCTGGTATATTATTATGGGATGGGAGTTCCTAGCAGAAACAAGAGTACCTGAAGTATTAGGCACTTGATTATTATAACTGTTTGAGACCTGAGCACGGCTGATGACCAGAGCTCTAGTTATGAGCCTTGAAAGAGTTCTGCAAACTCATGGGGAAACAGCTGCCCTGTGATGATGACATTCTAGGGAAACAGACATGACACTGCTCAGCCTGGTTTCTGTTGACCTGCTTATGTGGTTATCTGCATATGCTACATGAGACAGGCCATTATCTGAGCTCTTAACAGTCATGGTTTGGGCATGAAAAAACCAAGCAGCAGACCTTGAAGATCTAAATAGCAAAATTCATAGGAACAGTTCATTTTAGAGCAGTGAGTCTCAACTCTCATGGTATGTCAGAATCACTATATATACTTCTACAGTTAGGAATGCCCACAACCTGCCCCAGAGATTTGATATTAAATAGTCAAAGGTGGCATATGGCCCCTTGAATTCTTTTAATATGCTTCAGGTGATTCTGATACATACCCAAACCAGTTTTGAAGATGTTTTCTTACACCAGAAAAAAAAAAAGTGATACAATGTTTCCCAGGATTATTGATTTCCAATAAGGTTACTCACACAAGATTCTGGCCCTGGTATACAGTATCTCTATAGCAATTCAGTACACATTCCTAACACTTCAGTACTGATGGCTGACATTTTAAAACTCACTGGTGGAGAAAACAGTTTGTCCCAAATGTTTGTTCATGATTTTGTTAATTTACCTTTCATTGTCCTACAAGGTGAATCTGGAGATTGTTTTGTTGATGTGACACAGTTGGTTAGGGGCTATTCTATTGTACACAACAAAAAGAGGATGATTTATCATGTCTTATTTGATCTGACACATGAACAAAACACTAATAACCGGAAGAGTGATTCCTACAGCTCTCCAGAGCGTCCCACAAATTAAATTAACTGGATTTCAGAACAGAAAAAGAATTCCCAAATACCTAGAACCTTTATTTTCTCCCGTATGGGCCTAAAGGAATAATCCATTTTTTCCCTTTTAGAATATAATGGATACACATTTAGCTGGCACCTTCTGATGATTTTCTACTTTCTGCTGTTGTATTGCCAAAAACAAAGAGAGTTACTCTGCATGTCTCATTATGGGGGAAAACATTATATCTTTTGAAATTCTATCTATGGACTTTGTTACTTCTTTGTGGATCTTTAATTGGTGGTGAACTCCAGCTCTATGACTCAAGATGGCCCAAGGCAGGTCCATTAGTAAAGCCATATGGAAGTTACTTCTGGTAAGAAGCAGTAGATGATCCAATATTCAGATATTTTGTTTCCTAAATGAAATCAATTCGCATGACTGATATCATACAACACGGGTCCGAGACACGCATCCTGACTGGAATCCACCCTCCAATCCAAATCATAGTATGGTTACATAGAAGTGGTAAATCAGTAAATTCCATTCCATTTTAGGAAAGGGCAGTGAGTTAACATATTCGTGACAGTACAGTTTCTATTTTAGCAGAATATTTTAGGTGTGCATGTTCATGTAGACAATTCCAAATTGTAAAAAATGACAGAACTGAGAATAAAGAAACAATTAGGCAGATTAGATGTATGCCTTTTATACTTAACCAGTGCCTGCTAGTCCCAGGTCAAACCAAAAGCCATTTCCTGGCACTTACTAAATGGAGCAATAAACATCTAATTAGCATTGATGTAGGTAGACAAGATTTTTTTTTTTTTTTTTTTTTTTGTATTTAGAAAGAGGAAAACTAGTTTCAATTCCTTTTATTTTTTTGCTTGATCGCTTACTCATATCTGTCCTGCCGTAAAATTTCCCTCCCTACTCTTGCCTTCCCTGTCAAAAACCAATATAATGGCTGAGGATGTAGCTAAAGCACTTTCCTAGCATTTTGAGTCCCTGGCTTCAATCCCTAGCACACCCTGCCTTTAAAAAAAAAAAAAAAAAAGGTCAATGTAAATTAGAATGACAGGAGGAATAAATATGGTCTAGAAAATATTAAGAAATTTAATAGAACACTAAAAACTGACTGATACTGTCTCTTATATTGTTAGGATCAGAGAAAGGAGTGTGGCAAAGAGGCAGCAAATTTATCTTATTTAGAATGGAGCAATATGTACTAGTCCCAGCATGTTCCCAAGTCCCCTATAATCTGTTCTTAAATTTTGGACCCCTATCATGTCTTTGATATTACAGGAGCTGGCTTAAACTTTACTATGCTACCCATTGATTCAAGGCTATCTAAGTCAACTTAATGAAATTAAAGTCCTTGTCTGCTTTGACACCTCACAATGCTTGGCACATGGAACATACTCAATAAAGACTTGCTTAGGCTGCAGAGGCATCACAATACCTGATCTCAAGTTATACTACGAAGCTGTAGTAACAAATAGCATGATATTGGCATAAAACCAGATTAGGATCAATGACTAGAATATGCAGAGAAATCCACAGGGACACAGTCATCTGATCCCTAACAAAGCTGTCAAAAACAGACCTTGGAGAAAAGATCAACTTTTAGACAAATAGTGCTGGAGGAACTGGATTTCCCTATGAACAAGAATGAAATTAGATCCCATTCTTTCACCCTGAATAAAAACTCAAAGTAGATCATAGACCTGGGAATTCGATCAGAAACACTATAACTGCCAGAAGAAAACATAGGGTCAACATTCTAACATATTGGCACAGGTAGTGACTTCCTTAATAAGCTCAAGAATAAAAACCAGAAATAAGTGCGATGACATCAAATGAAAAATCTTCTGCACAGGAAAAGAAAAGAACATGAAGAGAACCTACAGAATGGAGAAAATCTTTGACAGCTATTCCAAGGGGGAATTAATAGCCAGAATATGTAATGAGCTCAACACCAAAAGGCAAATAACCCAATCAAAAATAGGCAAAAGAATAAACATACACTTCTCAAAAGAAAAAATGTAAATAACTGACAAACATGAAAACATGTTCAACATCCCTAGCAATGAGGGAAATGCAAATCAAAATTACACTGATATTTCATATCACTCCAGTTAGAATGGCAATGATCAAGAACACAAATAACAATAATTGCTGGTGAGGTTGTGGGGTAAAGATACACTTCTATATTGTTGGAGGGGCTGCAAATTAGTGCAACCACTCTGGAAAGCAGTATGGAGATTCCCCAAAAGGCTAGGAATAGAACTAGCATATGACCCTGCTATCCCACTTCTTCGTATATATCTCCCAAAACACTAAAATCAGCATACTGTAGTGATATATGCATATCAATGTTTATAGCAGCTCAATTCATAACAGTCAAGTTGTAGAAACAAGCCTAGATATCCATCAACAGACTAATGGACAAAGCAAATATGAAACACATACCCCACACCTGGAGTTTTACTCAGTCATAAAGAAGAATGAAATTATGTGATTTGCTAGTAAAAGGAAGGAACTGGGGAATATCATGCTAAGTGAAATAATCCAGACTAAAAGTCAAGGGTTGAATTTTATATGTGGAAAGTAGGGAAGGGGGAGCAAAAACAAAAAGAGCTCCCCAAATAGGAAGGAGACTCGATATTGAGTACAGGAAGGGAGGAAGAGAGTATATAGGGAAGTCCTGGGGAATGAAATTCCCAAATTATGCTATGTCCATGTAAAAACATATTACAATGAGTTTCTCTCTCTCTCTCTCTCTCTCTCTCTCTCTATATATATATATATATATATATATATATATATATATATAGATAGATAGATAGATAGAATCATATTATTATATATTATATAGACATCATTAAAATATAAATCAATAGATGAGATCAAGTGGATCAGGAAAAGAGGGAGGAAAAAGGAAGGTACTGGGGAATGAGATTGAACAAATTATGTATAATTATAAAGCATCAATTTAAAAAAAATAAACACATTGGCTTTATTAAATGGAAGGGAAGAGGAGGAAAGGTAATGGATTGAGTCCAAGCTTACTGGTGTGCCATACTAGATACAGCTTCTCGCTTTGTTACTAGTCATTCCCTGCATAGGTCCTTGAACACCTCTAGGTGGCTTACTTCACATACAGTACATCACACCCTGGTACCTGCACACTTAACACCCTCTACTAGACATGCCCTTCTCCTCCTGGTTCAGCTGGTAAGATCTTAGGTCCATTTAAAACCCCGTCCTATCTGGGAACATCCCTAAATCTATATTAATTGCTCCTCTCTTTATGCTACCTGTACCTTGTACTACACATACTGAGGTGCCCCTTTATCAGCGTACTATTTTATTGCTAGACATTTCAACTTATGGTATTCATATGAGTCCTTCATAAAGACAGTAGCTTCAACATTTCTGCATTTCTTTAGCACAGAATACACAGCAGACATTGAATCAGCATTAATCCATTCATTGTTCATGTCAAGTAGTGTCTTAGGCACCACAGTTCACAAAACTTTAAGAATCCTTATCCTCCTGGAGTTTTTTCTAGTCATAGAAGGCTGATAACAATATATAGGTAAAATACATAAACAGAGAAGGTAAAGAGTGTGTGTGTGTGCACATATGCACATGTCACCAGGAGAATATTTGAGGAAAAAGTGTTCCTACCAGAGGGAACTACAAAGCACAGATACACCGATGTGGACATGGATCTGAGCTGTCTGGGGACAGTCACGTAGCAGTGAGGAAGTGAGTGGCTGAAGAAGAATGAGCAAGCGGGAGTGTAGTGAAAGATGAAAATAAAGGGTGTGTGCAGGGTTAGATCCCAGAGGTCATACAGGCCACAAAAAGAACTTTGGTTTTCAATCTGAGTGAAAAGTCACAAATGGAAGAATGATGAGCTCCAGCCCACAGTTAACAGGGACATTCTGGCTGCTGAACTGGGGGCAGACTTCAAGGGAGCAATTAAAAAAAAAAAGCACTGAGACAAATCTAGGGAAAATATTATGGTGTTCAGATCAAAAGGCTAATAGAGAGTAGAAGAGATGTGAGAAGTAGTTAGAGATGGATGTATTTTGAAGATAAAGACAACAGCCTTTGGATGGAGGATATAAAAAAGAACAGTTGAGGATAATTCAGTGATATGGGGCTGAAGGGTTTGGAGACTAAAAGATGAAGAAATTATTAAATCAGGTTAGGAAGACTGGGAGGTTTGGGGAGTTTGGAGGTTAAGTTTGAGAATTCCAGTAGACATCTTAGTGGTGATTCTGAATAGGCAATTTGGTATTTGTGCCTGGAATTCAGAGAAATATCAGCAAAGAATGAAATGATATTTAAAAGGAGTGAATATATTTGGGAGAGAGAAAAGTCCAAAGGGTTTTGCCCTGGGCTCTCCAAGATGTCTAGCCGACGAGGAAGAATCAACAAAGGAGCAGCTAGGGCAATAGAAGGAAAACCAGAAAACTGGTTCCAGAAACCAAGCAAACTATTTAAAAGAGGATGAAATGGTCCACCATGTCATCTCTTGCTTGTGGTCAAGTAACATAAGGGGTAAGAATTCACCCCTAGATTTAGCAGTGTGCAGATCACTGGTGATCTTGACTAGTTCTGGTTGAATAGTGTGGGTGACAGCATAACTGGGAGTAGAAGTGAAAGAAAAAAGGAGAGCAAGTACAGTATACACAAGTCTTTTAATGAGTCTTGCTATAAAGATATGAAGAAAAGTGAGACAGTTGGAGGGGAATGTGAAGTCAAATATGAGAAGAAAATGCTTTTTTTTATGTGGATGGAGTTTCTGTTGGAACAGCAAATACTGATGCAGAAATGGGGAAGGAGTGATAGTTTTTGATCTAGTTGATTTGAATAGAATCTAATGCTCAAGTGGTTGTGAGGCAGGTTGGCCATTGCTAGAATATATCTTAACACAAGCAGAACATTCTGGTAGACTTGCAAGCTGGGATAGGTGTGATGGGACCTACTGGATGTTCTCCTCTATTTGCCCCCATTTTCTCAGTGATGTAGGATGCAAGTTCATAAAAGGAGATTGGCATGAGAAAGTTTAAGAAGAGATGCTGAAAAAGTCTTTGGGAAGAGTAGGAAAGTGAATTGAAAAGGGATATTTATTTATGATGTCTGGGCAGTGATATGAGAGCTGGTTGATCGTAAACTGAAGGTCATGGCCAAGTTCAGCTTATAGATGTAAGTACAGGAACTAGATTTTCCAGGATTGCAGATGTAGAAAGGAAACATGACAAATATTTATTGATTATGATTCAACTTTTAACAAAACTTATTTCCTGTCATCATATAGGCATTACTGGGTAGTTTACCCTTGAGATCATATGCCTGTCCCACTACTGTTTGGTTATCATGAAATCAAAAATCCACAAAGGCCAATATTCTGAAATACTCACCTCCCTTCAAATCTGTGTTTTAAAAAATCAAACAATGCTTTTTGCATCATATCTGTGACCTGTGAGAAATCAATAAAATATTACTACTTTGATAAACCAATTTTGTACAGCTATATCAATGTTTATAGCAGCACAATTCACAATAGCTAAATTATGGAACCAACCTAGATGCCCTTCAGTAGATGAATGGATAGGGAAACTTTGATGTATATGTGTGTGTGTGTGTGTACACACACACACACACACAATGGAACATTACTCAGCATTAAAAGAGAATAAAATCATGGCATTTGCAGGTAAATGGATGAAGTTGGAGAACATAATGCTAAGTGAAGCAAGCCAATCTCCAAAAAAGAAAGGCTGAATGTTTTCTTTGATATGAGGATGCTGACTCATAATGGTGATGGCAGGGCAGCATGGGAAGAATGGAGGAACTTTAGATAGTGCAAAGGGGAGGGAGGGAAAAGGAGGGGACATGGGGGTAGGAATAATGGTGGGATGAGTTAGACATCATTCCCCTAAGTACATGAATGAAGACACAAATGGTATGAAAATACTTTGTGTACAGTCAGTGACTTGAAAAATTGTGCTCTATATGTGTAATATAAAATGAATTGCATTCTGCCATCATATGTAACAAATTAGAATAAATAAATAATTTAATAAAAATAAAATACGAAAAAGGAAAAAATGAACTCTTAAAATTACCTTAACTTTGTATTTGGAAAAAGAAGCATGTGAAGTTACCACATTTTTCTGTTTCTAAGTTCCAATTCAAAGACAATTCAAAAGAGTTCCCCAAATTTATCCTGATGCTTTAGTGACAATAAATTAGACTGCAAATGGTTTCAGTTACTCTCCATTTAATACGATTTCCTGGACTGATAAAACTGTAGCTAGCAGAAATATCCGAAGCAACAGCCAGGAGAACATACCAAACAACATATACCACAACTTGAAAAAACAACATGCTTTGCTGCTCTGGGCTATTTAAGTTCAAATTCCAGAGTTTAAAAGTGGGAGGTAGAGTCACAAAGCAGTTTAACATGCGAAGGTCAAGTGTGCTACAGAGGCGAAGGCTGCTACTCACCTCATAACCCTTCAGAGAGGGGCCTACTAGGACCACCGGCCGCATGGAAGGTACAACATCATAAGGAGGAGTGTGCTCTGTCTGCAGAGAGAGGACATGCATTTAGATGTTTCACAGACAGGGGGAAACATAGGATTTTGCATCTAGTAAAATAACTTTGTTGAACTCTAATATGAGGCACTGGTTTTCCAGACATTTAAATTTTTTTCTACTTGCCTCTTTTCTAAATAAACCCAATCAAAGATTGGTGGGTTTATTTTCCTGAATTTCACGTTACTGAATAGTGCAGAGATTTTCTTGCTCATCCCAAGAAATGCTATTATCATAATAGTTCCAAAAGCATAAAGTGCCACTTTTGAACAAAAACTAGTTGTAGAACAAACAGAAACATGCCTCATGCAGAATAGGTGCCATAGGCTTGACTGGAAGTTAATATTGCTTTTTAAATGCATTTGAGTTTTTTGAAGAGTTGAGATGATCATGTTAATTACAGAAAAAAGAAAAATTCTATTTTCTTTGCATCTTAGATGTTTGTCTTACCTGCATAAAGCCTAATTTCAAAACATTGTGAATATCACTACCAAATACTTAAAAATTCTGTTTTATTGTGAGCATTTAAGTTGGCATGAATGTACATTCCAGTAAACAGTAATTATGAGCACTGTTCCCAGGTTAATAATGCTTTTGGATTTTTAGTTTTTATATGTTGGCATTTAAAAACATAAATGTAAGATTTGTGTCTCAGAAGGAAGATGATTAATGTGTAATCACATTCGACCGTGCTTCAGTGGCCTCCAAAGATTCATTATCAACTTGCATTTCTAATATGCTTCTCAAATGTAGTTTAGGTAGTGTTTTTGTTACATAACTAATTCATGTTTTTCTGCAGTAATTTGTTTCTTTTTTTGGAAGTGCAGGGGAGGAGCTAAATTTTGTTGTAATTTCTAAAACTATCAACATTTTTCAGCTTGCTTCAAATACAGTTTTTTTTCAAAATAATTACATATTACCTAATTTGCCTACATTATGACTGATTTGTTTGACAGTATTTGTATATTGTATTATTTTAATAACAGAAAATATTAAATTGACCCAGAAATAATCTTTTTAATAAAAAAAGAAATGCAGGAGAGCAATAGATATGGTCTTAGACACTGGGAAAGTTAATTATTAATTTTTTCTCTACATAACTCTTTCTCTGATAAGGAGTACCTTTCTCCATTAAGTATATATATTCATGAAAATATATATACTTAAAGAATTACATGTACCAAAAGAACAATGCTTTTTAAGTATGTTAAGAATTTGATAAACTAATATGCAAATGTAATTTTTGTATCAGCCTGTCACTGAAAAACATTTTATTGTTGCTTAAAATTGCTTATTACAAACTTTCTCACTTTGTTTGAATTTAAGTTGCTTGTGGGAATGATTTAAAAAGCATTTCAAATTCAATAGTTTCTGTCTGAGATTTCACCAATATTTGTAGACAGCATGATCGGGGGAAGAAAAATATTACTGTGACTGTGCTGTCACATTTTACTGATTAAAATTTTACCTAGCTCTTAAAATTCATTTTAATAGACACAATTAAGGTAGGATACATTTTTGAACAGAAAAAAAGAGACAAACATAATACAGTGACAGCACAAATGCCACACAAGCACCACTCTAAAAGCAACCTAAAACACAGAAAACAGTCTTATTGTTGAATCTCAGGCTTTTTTTTTTTTCCCTGAGCTCTACATTGAAAGTTACCACAGATTTGATAACATAAGAAGAATGAATACCAGTGCCGAAGGCATCATAAGCATATTTACTAAATGATTATGTTATACCACCTGGGATATTACTGAAAATGTTTAGAAGCCAAGTCCTTATAACTATGCAGTATAAGAACACCTTTCCCACCATCATAATTAGGAATATAAATTGCATGCATTTTTAATAACAGCTACCAAAAATTTTATTTCCAAGTCTTTAAGTCTAAAGTGGCGCAGTGTTTAATAGCTCTTTTGTTCCTCCAATCTGTGACTGCCAACTAGCAAAGGGTTCCCATGCTAGTAATCAATTGGCTTCTTAATAAGGTAGCTACAGAAATTACCTTATTTGATGGAATATTGGTACTTTGTTCCCTATTGATAAAAAGTACGCCTTTTTGGGGGGGGAGGGGTACCAGGGATTGAACTCAGGGGCACTGAACCACTGAGCCACATCCCTAGTCCTATTTTGTATTTTATTAGAGGCAGGGTCTCACTGAGTTGCTTAGTGCCTTGCTAAATTGCTGAGGTTGGCTTTGAACTTGGGATTTTCATGCCTCTGCCTCCCGAGCTGCTGGGATTACAGGCATGTGTCACCACACCTGGCAAAAAATACGTCTATTTTATCTTCCCTTTCCTGCTTACCCTATTTTGTTTGAATCATTTAGTGGAAAATTTGTGATAAGCTCTTTTTAAAGTTGTGAAATTTAAGGGTAAGCAAACTTCAAACACTATCTTGACCAACATCATGGTTTAAGTGGCTGTTCTTGTCCTGTGATGTCCAGAGTGGTTTACAATGATGGTTTTCTAAGTTCCTAATCTTTGGACACTGCTGGTCACTTGGCTGAAAGCTTTAGCTGTGATCATAAGATAAGACCAGAGAGATAGGCTCACTGGTGTGGATGAATATCAAGTTGGGGCTTTCTGTATTAACACAAAAATCCAGGTGTTTTAAGTTTTGCCTTAAGTTCTGAGGTTTTCCCTACTTAACGTATCCTTAATTTATTAAAAAAAAAAAAAACTAAGTGTAGGGTTCAGTATATGACACAATAAGTTAATAAACTTAGGGTCCTCTACAGAGTAAAATACTTGTTTGCAGAGGAAAAGATTTTAGTATTGAGAAACTATGGGGCAGAGAGTATTCCCATGTTTGTGTCAGGTTGGTGTCCTTAGGAAATATGAGTCTAAAAGACAGCAGAGTAGCTTCTGGAAAGTGGCTTATAAATGAAGGGGAAAAAATGGAAATTTGGGGGTATGTGTTCCTTTAAAAAATAATACTTGAAGCTACAAAACATGCTGAAAGGAATCAGGCTATCTGGTGTAAAGAGAGCTCAGGAATTCCCTGGAATTTCCAGTCAGGGGACAAGCAGCATCAGTGCGTAGCATCTTGGTTGGCCAATGGCAAAGGCTCTATGCATGGCCACCAGCCCCATTGTCCAACAGGCGAGATGCTGAAATCTGACTGATGGAGAAGGCAAGAACATTGGGAGAGTATTTATATATGACAATAGGAAAAACTCACAGTAAACCGCCAAAACAAGCCTGCAGTTTTCCACTGGTCTTGTTCATCTGCAGATTTTGCACCTAGTGGATTAGAAGTTTAAATACTGACTAAATTAAAAATTGAATCATCTTTTTTTAGTACAAGCTATGTATCTGGATATCATAAATCAGTATCTAATAACTGCTTTAATATGCTTGATTATCAGTTAAATTTCTGGAAAAAAGAAAGAAACAAAGACAGACAGAATAAGCATGCACAATTGAGGTGCATTAGATGAAGTTGTCAGTGTTGGACATCCTTTGAATGCTGAAACAAATTCCCTTGGTGGTAGATATTATTCCATCAAAAAGGATAAGTACTGTAATGGTATTTTAACAGGTCACTGAATTTAGCCAGTTTGAAATGCATGGACTCAATTAGCTGTTGATAGGTTCTTTTCTTAGGACAGAAATGATTGTATTTAATAAAACTGTGGGAATTAATGCTAATGATGCCAGTGGCAGGATAAACACAGCTTATGTCAATGTAAACTTACCGATTTCTGCTTCTGCTTAGCTACAGCAGCGTGGAAAAGAAACAAAGAATAACAGAGCATGCATGTTATTGGCTTGTCAAAGGACACAGACAGTCAACAGGACTAGAAATGTGACGCAGTGCAGTTGAGCAGGTGGACAACGGGAACTGGGAAGTTCATGTTACCTTCTTAAAGAAGGGCATTCTTTTCTCTTTGGAGTGGGGTGACGTTACACTGTTTGCACTGGGCTTAGGGGAGCGGTGGTTTGCTGGAATATCATTTTCTTCTGCATCTAAGCCAGTAGCATCTATGTCTATAGCTATATACAGACAAACAATTCAAAAATCATCAGGTGGACAGGAGAGGAAAAACAGGTTATAAAGAAAATAAAATGAAAGCAAATAAACTAACCACTGTAAAAGAGCTATCGTAAGTGTTCAACACAGTACACAAAGAAAGTAAAATTTAAAGGTACAGCACATTAAGAATGCAATGTAATCAAATCTGATAAAACTGAAAGATACCCTTATCATATCTGTTTGCTTCAGCAAATCTATTCCATGCTAGATCTCTTGAATATTTTGAGAAATGTTTTTAATTTGTAGTTTCAAATATAATGTTGATATTCTCCACATTGACTATATAAAACTATAGTACAGAACATTCTGCTTCACTTTGTACAGTGTCTTAACCCATATTTTAAATAACAGGCAACTATATTGAAAACTTAACAGGATATGCCTCATATTTCTAATTTTGTGGAAAATAGGGGCCATGTGAAAAGGTTTACTACAATTGCAACAGGCATTTGAGGGAAAGAGAGAATAGAAAATCCTCAATCCAAACAGCACAAAGGAATCATACACATGGCAAATAATTCAGAGAGGGTTTCAGGATGGACAGGATTAAAATGAATGGTAAGTGCACCCTCAGAAAGGCCTGATCAAAGACTAATTAGAAAACACTGGATCTGATGATATCCCAATGAAATCAGTCTAGTAAAAACAATAAGGCTTGTGGTGACTTATGAAGCCACTAGATATAACCCAGTAGGCAAAATGGAGGGCACAAAGACCTAAGATAATAGGCCACTGCTCTTTCCCACTATAAAGTGGGGGTTTGGGATTGTTGCTTGACATCCTTCCATTTGAAATCGTTCAACATGAAAATACTACTCTTAAAAAGTAGTAAATGGGGAAAGGATGCATAATCTCAGAGTTTATAAAAGTGTTTCCTCATGTAATTATGATAGAATTCTTTCAGCTATGGAAGCACTTAAAAATAAGAGGGTCGACGTTGATATAAGATTTAAAAGCTGAACTCAAGAGTTTATGTTCACAGTAATAACTCAGCAGGGCAGGACTCAGAACCTAGTTCTCCCATCTCAGTGAGTCCATTCTTGTCCCTATACCATGTTGCCCTCCAGTTGAGGTCCCTTCTCAATCTGGGCACACACTTTCAATTCCTTTTGCTTCTTTAAGGGGGTCATGTCTTTGGTATCAGGATTCAGGAGGGTATCACAGAGTTGAGCTCACTAGAAAATTACTTTATGGTTGAGATTAGATCAGGGAGATGAAAAGAAAATTTACTTACCATTGGAAAACACCAATGTCATACATGCTAGCCCTCTAACAGAAACCACAGTACATTCAGATTGAAGGAATGATTTACCATTTGGAACAACAGATTGCTTGATGTTGCAACACATCTACATTCCTGTGACACAAGCTGAATTGATGCTCAAAATAGCCTCTTTTAACCTTCCAAAGAAGGGGATATTATCCGATAGGCATGTTATTTTTCAATTTTTTAGTTATTATGGATTTTAGATCATTCAGCCATTTGAAAATTAGGATCTCATTTAATTGTTCTATTTCATTTGATAAGGTCAAAAATCTGTGATGGAGCGAATACCTGGCACTGTTTGTACAGTGTTACAAATACCAGTTTGGGCTTGCATAATAGATGAGGTGTGGTCTTCTATCAAGGGAAAGTAATAATAAACTAAATTGATTCCACATATTTACTTAGTAAATATGTCTTTCTTTTTACTGTCTATGCATATGGAGTAACTAAAAGGTTCAGTGTGTGGTGTGCCAAGAAAATATAAAATGTGCCCAGGGCTTTGAACCTACCCTGGCTTTTATACCACACTATGATTAACCTTTGCTCATATAGGTATATTTCATTATGGGGCTTATTGAATGGTTATCCTGGGAAAAGTCTGAAAAATAAAGTCTTGAGGAATAATTTTCCTTGAATCCTAAAAAGGAAGACCATTGTTAGTACCTTTCTGGACTAAGGAGACTATAACAGGTCTTAACCAATATTAAATACATTTCCCTTCTGGCCATAGATTTCCACATACTCTTTCTTTTTTTCCACCTTTTATTTGGCTTAGTAAGGCTCCAATCAAGGGACAGTTCCCTCTGAATGCCTTTCTGAAACTGAGGGTGCCCAGTTGGAGGTCAAAGTTGATAGCACTCTGGGATGGCAAAGTTCATGAACTGAATTTTATGCTTTGCCCACTAAACCCTGTCTGCTGTGATCATCAGATGAATTTGTTCTAAAAGGACGAGTGGAAATGCATAAATGTTGTGATGTTGCCCAGATATTTGGCTACCCCCACACACAGCCTGAGTGAGGACTAAAATTTATCTTTATTTCAACACAGGGGCCCCACATCCCAAATAGACAACTTTCCAACTTACTGGTTCTGATTTTTAGTTAACTTAAGTCTAAAACATTAGGGTTTTCTCTATAACACTGATAATTCAAGAACGTGGTCACTTTCAGAACACATCAAAAAGAGAATCTTTTTTTCACAGTTCTGTATAGTATGTTGGATTCACATGGTTCTTCTTTGACTGAGAGATGTTACTGCTTTTTAAATTCAGACCTGTATTTCCATACCTTGGCAAACATTAATAGTAAGTTGGAAAAAATACTTTGAAAATAGCTTTTTCAGTCCTCCTTAGAGCATTTATGTTTGTATATGTACATACATGTATATGCATATATGTATGTAATTATGTACAGAGCCTTGGTAACATTTTTTGAAAGGTAAATTTTGTTTTATCTCAGAACTTGGGTCAAGGTAAGCAGAGATCAAGGGTGATGTGTCTACACACATGTAGGTGTGTGGCGTACTACCCCATTATGCAAATGTGAAGTAGAAAGTTTTCCTTTTCCACCCCCTTGAGAACACCCATGCGTATTTACTTCAGTCAGATGCTTATATTCCTTGGTCTAGCAATGATTGAGGGGAATTATAGATAGGGCCTCTGAGAAACAAAAAGATGAAATTATAGGCCAATACAAACTTGATAATTGGGGCAGTTGTCCTTGGAACTTCTAAAATTTTCTGAAGGTTTACCTTAGATCTACTGAACTATTGATGTAAAAATTACCACAGAGAAGATATGCTTATTATACATTTCACAGTTGATCACATCTCCAGGCCAGTCAGTCACAGTATTTTATTCTCTTGGTATTCAGAGAAGTTATTCCAAAGTCTTGTGTCTGTATAAAATTTTGGTGAAGTTTAAAGTTATCTTTATTTTATCACACTCTTCATGGAACTTATTTTTAGTAATGATAAACATTTGACTATAAAATGAAATTTTATTTTACATATACACTAACTTATTCTCCAAAATGCACGCACTGGTTTTCATTATATGGCTAAAATGATTAGATGGCTACAGTCTGGTTAGAGGAAATGAAAGACCTGTACTGGCCGACAGAAGAGGGGCTTTATCACAATGTGATGTAGCATTTTTCCATCTTAGGAGCCTAGTAGCAGTCCTCAGGAATCCTGAAGACATTCTTTTACATATATAGGAAATGTATGAGTCCATGTAGAAATCTATGCAGCTTCACACATTTGAGTGGAACAGGATTAGGTTCCTTTTCTCTGTGCATTCAGGGAAGACCTTCTCCCCAATGATCAAGGGAAGATACAAGCCTCACATAATAATTACAGTAGTTTAATCTTCATTTTAACCACACTGTTACTTCATTTTGAACATCTTAGAATTACTGCAAGTTATAAGCTCATTGTTTTTGAAATCAATATGTATCCTAATTTCTCATTGTGCTCAGAATTTGCTCACTTAAAAAGAAGTCTGTAGTTTTTGCTAAATCTCTGGTTTCTAAAAGCTATCCACATTCAGGAACTTGGTATGATTATTAGTAACAGAAGAATCCTGTTCTTAAGACACTGTAGTCGTAGTGCCGCTAGTTTCTTACTTTTCTCTAGATGCATAATTCTCTTTATGATTTTTTTCTCATTTCCAGCTTCTTGGAAATCATACATACACAAGATCATTTTGCTCTAACACTCTGGCAGCCAATCCTTACAATCCTACTGACCCCCAGTTATGTCATATAGAAAACCGAGGCACTGATTATGAGCTTTCATGCTAAGACAGTGAGTATTCTATTTATATAGAAATCTAAGCTCTACTCAAAATGCTAGAGTTGCCATATAAAACAAATACACTTAAATTTGATTTCCAGATAAAAACAATTTTTTAGTTTAAGTAGGATCCATAAATTTTCAGTGTTAAGTATTTCCCATGAAATACATTCTTAGACTAAAGATTATTTTTGTTTACTTGAAATATTCAGCTTTAAATGCTGTCCTTTATTTTGTTTAGCACTCATAAGAATAAATCCATTGCTTTGGATAAAATAAGTAGTGTCACTCTGCCCACAAGAGTTTTTGTTGATATTTCTGTGCATTGTCTAAGTCTTCCACAGAGCCTGTCTAGTGTTTCTTCTGAGAAGCTGATCACTCCATCTTCACTTGATTGTCCATTCCTTACTCTATTCTAAAGTTTGAATGCTGTGTTCTCTTTTTATTTAATTATGAAGCCTACAACTCACACTATACTGTGATAGTTGGCGGGCATTCACTTCTTTATTGCTATGGTCATCTACAGTAAGTCAGTAAATTGACAACACTTTTTTTTTTTTCACCCAAAGCCAGAAAAAGTTCTCCGAACTCTTCCTAACTCCACAAGTTAGTTTTTTATTTAGTTAGTTTTGATTTCTGATATATCTTAGCATTTGTAGGATTGACAGAGTGATTCAGTGTATGTGAATTCATGAAACTAGATCCGACTGGGGGAAGCATGAAATGCAGTATATACTGTTCAGCACTTATCACCTACTTACCAGATGATGGAGGTGTAGATTTTCTGGAACTAGGAACAATGTCACCCAAACTGGATGAAGAATTTCCTCCTGATTTACTGAAGTAAAGCAAAAACTCATATTAAATCTGACACTTATTTCAGATTCTAAAACATTCATACTACTTAATAGACATGCTACTTGATTGTATTTTTATTGAACTTTAAAATGTATTTTCTTTTCTTTTCTTTTTTTTTTTTTAAACAAGAATGCGAACAGTAATTTCCTGGTGGAGATTCTGGAGTACTTGAAACGATTATGTGATGGTCTCTGTTCACAATTTCAAATCCGAGGTTTAATTTTAAAAAGCCCTGAGAGAATAGAAGCAAACTAGGATAATTTCTGCAGGCTTCAGGTTCTCTACCCAGATCAGAAGTGACTAAACATCAAAGATTTCCTCTGCCTTTTTTTTTTTTTTTTTAAATTTGGAGGCCTTCTGAGTTAGTGAATACAAAGAATATTAACACTAACACCCAAGTTGAATGTTTTCTTCTTGTTTAGTTCCAGCTCCTTTGTCTTAGCTTCATTATTTTTACTATACTAAGATTCAAAGTACTCAAGCCTTCATGGGCAACCTATAAAAGTAAAACAAAGCAATTTTAAAGCTTCTAACCTTTAAGGATTATACAACCTATAAAAGTAAAACAAAGCAATTTTAAAGCTTGCTAACCTTTCACATGAAGAAATGTGAAACAGAGTACTTTATGGTTTAATCAGCAGTTAGTACCCAGAACATTTCATAAGCATAGCTAACATGGAGAATTAAACTGGGTTAATTTAGGAAGATCTGAAGAGCATATATTTGAAAAACCACCAAATTTTAAAATTTGATAGAAGATACATTTCTGCGTCTTAGAACCTTTGGAGCTAATATTAAAACAATAGCATTGGCTGCGTGGTGGCTCACGCCTGTAATCCCAGTGGCTCGGGAGTTGAGGCAGGAGGATCACAAGTTCAAAGTTAGCATCAGCAAAAGCAAGGTGCTGAGCAACTCAGTGAGACCTTGTCTCTAAATAAAATACAAAATAGGGCTGGGGACGTGGCTCAGTGGTTGAGTGCCCCTGAGTTCAATCCCTAGTACCAAATAAAAAAGCATTTATGGTTTTCATCAGTGTACAAGAATGGAAATAATAAAGTTACTCAGCTTCACAAATGAAGATGGCAAGCAGCATCTTTTTCTTTAAATATTTTTAGTTGTAGATGGACACAGTACCTTTATTTTATTTATGTATTTTTTAATGTGGTGCTAAGGATTGAACCCAGTGCCTCATATGTGCAAGGCAAGCGCTCTACAGCTGAGCCACAACTTCAGCCTGACAAGGAATACCTTAAAAGGGAGGGGAGGGGAGGGGGAGATAGGGAGGGCAGCAGAATACAACAGACACTAGTATTGCTGTATTATGTATGTGGCTGTATAACCAATGTGATCCTGCATTCTGTACACGTGGAAAAATGAGAATTCATACCCCATTTTAATCAAATGTATGATATGTCAAGATTATTGTATTGTCTTGATCAACTAATAGAAAATAAAGAGGACACAGAATTTGGTCAAAATGATCCCACTGCTTAATGTTTATTATGCATGAGCAAGAATCTAGTTGAAAGAATTCGTCACAGTGTCTGTGCATCAAAGGGCAATATTCACTCAGTGAATATTAATATGAAATCTAAGCAACAGTAAATAGTAGTAAAAACTGAATTATTGCTGTTATTCTAGCATTTTCATATATAAAATAAACATGACATCAAAAACCTATTAAACAACTACAAGGAGGGCTCTACATCTATTTTAAGGTTTTTAAGAGATACTCCTATATATTTAATAAGTAACCAGACAGTATGTAAAATTAGTAAGAAGTGGTATTTATAGAGGCAGTTTCTGGCAGTTATGTAAGGACACCTATTACCAGAACCAAAACATTTTTTCCATAAGTTTATTGTTTTTTTTTTTCTAAAATACTAAGTCTAATTTCAGTTTAAGCGTGGGTTTATTTTACATTCTTTTTGCAGTTTAATAGTCAAAATATTATTTTAGCTCTGTAGAATTTTGACAGATAATCCTCAGTTAAAATGTCTAGGATGCAGATTTGCCCTTAACTTTTTGGGGGGTGGGTGGGGAAGGGTACAGGGAATTGAACTCAGGGGCACTCAACCGCTGAGCCACATCCCCAGCCCTATATTGTATTTTATTTAGAGACAGGGTCTCACTGAGTTGCTCAGCACCTAGCTTTTGCTGAGGTTGGCTTTGAACTCATGATCCTCCCGCCTTAGTCTCCTAAACCACTGGATTATAGGTATGTGCCACAGCACCCAGCTGGTCCTTAACTTTTACTTGTATAAAAAATGCCAAATTTGTCCGTTTTTATAATTTACTGGAATCTTGTAAGTAAGTAAGACTCTGTCTTAATTTTTTTTTTTTTTTTTTAATGTTAGGAGACAAATGAAAAAACCTACAAAGGCAGGAAGTGTTTTTACCCACTTAGTCAAGTTTGTGTTTAGAGATGGGGCTGAATCCTGACAACTAAAGGAAAGAGTATACTTCTATCTGAAAAGTTAACCCTGGAATTAGTTATAAGATGCTATGAACTTGACAGTTGTAAATACTACTTAATGAGGATAGCTATTCCAAACTGACACATTCCATTTCATTTGTTGATACTTGGGGAAAAAAAAATCCTTGCTGATATTTAAAATATTATCATTGGGCTGGGGATGTGGCTCAAGCGGGAGCGCGCTCGCCTGGCATGCGTGCGGCCCGGGTTCGATCCTCAGCACCACATACAAACAAAGATGTTGTGTCCGCCGAAAACTAAAAAATAAATATTAAAAAATTCTCTCTCTCTCTAAAAAAAGAAAAAAATATATTATCATTAACAAAGGAATTTGCATCATCATATGAACAAACAAGATATAAAGCAGAGAAAAACAGAAACTAAGCTGTCCAGATTGAACTAAAGACTTGCCTGTAGCCCATCCTTCATGTGGGGAGAAGCTTGTCATGTCCTTGGACTTGTCTGCATAGGTTTCAGTTTAAAATTCACCACCTGTTTGAGCAGCCCCCTAATGAGTCGTCCAGTGAAGGGTAAATAACCTCAAGCCTGCTAGGAAGGATTATTCAGCCCCAGCCGATTACATAATTCTACATAATTGCTATCTGCAAAGGCAATTTTAACTTGTTTCATACTTAGTATCTCTTTAAATATTTAACAGTGGATAGAACTGAAAATTGAGTTTCTTAGGTGAAAATGAAACTAACAGATGACAAGAACTGCTATTTGCCAATCATGTCTGAGACTGTCATCTCTAAAACATCTCCCTGCCATGCCAGGCAGCTAAAGACACTCGGATTAGTCACCACGGCTGCTCTGTGCCAGAGTATTTTCAGCGAATGATTAGGACTTCAGATTTCCTCTGCACTGAAGCTGGAATTTAATACTGTATGACCTTAGCTATTTTCATTAATGATCATATTTAACTTTAGTTCTCTTCCAAATGGGATGAAGTTTTTAAAATACAGTATTTATGCTATCAATAGACCATATCACCAGGCTACTTTCAAATACATAATGAAGACTGTAGAAAACAAACAGTATATATATGATGTTATACTCTGAACTTTTGCACAAACTCTTGACATTTTTCTCATACCTGGAGTAGAATTTCCCTTGCTTGGCTCTCTGCTCATGCTGTAGCCTCATGTTTTCTAGTTTAACTGGGCTTGGAATGAATCCGATTTCACAGCCTTCTTTAACCAGTCGCCCTATCCACCAGTCATTATTAAATTTCTAAACACAAAATCAGAAATGTTAAAATCAGAAGTTCAAATCTTAGAATCCTTTTTCTTCCACATTAACCATTTTCAATGGAGAGAGAATGTGACAATTACAATGAACTATGCTTCAAATATCATAACTCAAGAAACCCTTAGGTTCATGGGTTTAATGAGTTTGGTGTGTTCAGCAGTCCATTAAAGGCTTTATGCTTTCTTCTTTTGCCCAGTGCTACCTTTACGATGGGGTAGAATTCTGTCACAGTTGCTGTTATCACCATGAGTAGGACAGGCTCTCTAGGTTCAGAGATTAATAGTTCTTCCTAGTAAAAGACCATCAGGAACTAGGAAGAGTGAGAGATTTTTCCCTTAAATAATCAGATTAACTAGAGGAATTAAGAGTGAGAGATAAATACAGGAATCTATCTGAAATATTTTGTGTTTGTAAAACTGCACAAAGGTAAATTTTGCTAACAGAATTCACACATGATTTTTCTTTATGTTGATGCTGATACTTTATCTCCTATAGGTAGAATATTTATCTTTAGTCTGTGTAATTTGATTTCATTTTCCTCAACTGAGTAAGTCTATTCTGGAACACTTAAAAAAAGAATATTCATTGTTTTCTTTTTCTTTCCATGGTAGAAAGAGATTCTCCTCTGAGCACTATCCATCAAGAGGAGACATTGTGTTACTCTAATTTCTTGTTACAGTGAGGTTCTAGGCATACTACCACTGTCTTTTTTATATAACCAATATTTTATATCTCTTTTATGTTACTGAAATGATTTTTAATTGGCAGTTATTACCTCTTTATAATGTTTAGTACATTGATAAGTTAAATTTACATATGTAAAGTGTTACACTATGACATATGTAAAATACTCCAATTGTAAATCCCTCCAGATCCAAGAAAAATATCATGTGCACACACAGAATATTATATAGGGGGACTTTCTGTCACTTAATATAATGTCCCACATAGCAGGCATTTCATACATGTTGAGACCAAACAAAATTTAAACATAAGGATGAATTGTTCCAATTTGCACATTATATTGTTATTAACTGACAGGTAGAGACATATGGCATAGAGGAAAATAATTTTCCTAATATCTCTTTCTTGCCTCACTGGCTGCAACTTCTACCATTCTCCCTTTTACTGCAGAAATTTAGCACTCAAGGAGGAAAAAGGGCACCGGTAGTCTGAGTTTAGATATTGTGAGCAGAGAAGAGGAGTCATGAATTCTGGAAATTATTAAACCTTCCCCAGATGGCTAAACTAAGAGACATCAGGAAAAACTACACGTAGTCAAGGTTAAACCTTAAAAGAAAAAGTAAAGGTTAAGCATAAAAAAGGATCATTTACTGTAACAGTTCCCGATATCTGGGCCACAGAGCCCAAGGGAGCACTGAAGTTATTGCCAGAAGCCCAAGATTCCTTTCCACTTTAAAAATGTACATTTATATCAGAAAAACTTGAGGGTCACTGATTCAGTGTATGTTATACAACTGCAGCTATATACTCAGGCTATTTCACAATAATAAGAAATGAAAAATGATGTTTCAAGGTGAAAAATTAAACTGATAGAAATTAAAATCATTTCCTTTACCTCCTTAACATGCAGAAAATCTTTTGCTTCAAACGAAATGGCCATGCCTGGCACTGGAACATCATCTTCATGGGCTGCACTATAGCTGACGTTTGTCCGAACTGCAAATGCAACGGGTTTTGTCTAAGGAAGAAAAGGAAAAAAAAAATTAGGAAAGAAACAATCGGTCCCTTCCAATCTTCCCCATCAAATAAAAGACACAATGAAAAACTGTTGCAGGGCTGGGGATGTGGCTCAAGCCATAGCGTGCTTGCCTGGCATGCGCGGGGCACTGGGTTCGATCCTTGGCACCACATAAAATAAAGATGTTGTGTCCACCGAAAACTAAAAAATGAATATTAAAAACAATTCATTCTCTCTCTCTCTCTCTCTCTCTCTCTCTCTCTCTTTTTCTTAGAGAAACTGTTGCAATCATTTTCTTCCCCATTTGTTCTTTATCACATTACAACTTGTTTGTATCCCCAATACATGAAATAGTTCTCAGCTATATACCATCCATTTCTGAACTAGAAAAAGGCCATTGTTCTCTTTGAAAGCACTGCAAGTATTAAAGGTAAAGATGATCTGAAATGAGTGTTTACAGAATAACAGCTTGTAGTAATTGGACATCAGGAATCAAACAGGAATACAAATGCCTAGTTTTTAGTTTGGGAACTGGAAAAGACAGAGTTTGCCTCCCTACCCCTACTTTAAAACATCTAATATAATTAATCAGTAAAGACATGATTTCTAAAGACATAATATTTTGACAAAAAAAAGGATCAGAGAATATATGTAACAACTTTAACAGTATTATTCATGCTACCAGGGAATTTTGAAAGTGGTGACCTTTTATTCTCTTTTCCCCCTTGAGTTCACTCTGCCACTAAAGATAACATTAAGTCATCCTTCATTATTTGATGTCTTGAGAATTCTCAGATAAGCAAGTACTGCTGATAGAGGGCAAATGCTTATCCTCAAGATGAACAAAGTAAGCAAGCTCTGAAAGGATGAAAAAAGGGTATTGTTCTAACTGGTATCTGTATTTCACATTATGGACAAGTGGATGTCTTCTGAACAGTTTTGCCCTACTCAACCAGTGCCCATCTGGACCTGCCAGGAAGGACAAGGGAGAGTCAAAGTGGAGATCTGGCTTTATTTCCGAAAAATCCACAGTTAATCTGTGCTGTTACTGTCTGTGTTGGGGACTAAGCTAAGAGTCCTACTCAGGTCCACTCATAGTTTGCACAGTAGGAATAGAGGACCACACTCTGGATATAGGCACAGTAGACAAAAAGTGAACTGAAATATCTGACAAGCCAATTTTTGGTATCCATTACGGATTTTAATGATACAAGGGCTACTACTCCTTAAGTGAAAATTTAAAATACATGCCTATATATGTGTGTATATTTTTTTAATTTGTAAAAATAAGTATCACCCATAGTTCTACCACTGAAAATATTTTTAAATTTTTTTAGTTGTAAATGGATCTTTTATTTTATTTATTTATTTATATGTGGTGCTAAGGATTGAACCCAGGGCCTCACACATGCCAGGCAAGTGGTCTACCACTGAGCCACAACTCCAGCCCGCTGAAAATCCTTGATAGCATGATGTTACTTCCATTTTTTCTTGGAATTTTCCTAAATATGTAAATTTTATTCCCAGAACAATAATCATAATATATTTCATTTTTATCTATAAGTAAATGTTTCCCCACGTTTATTCCTCCTCTACTAAGGCCCAGCATAAATCACTTCCTTAGTACCATCACTATCCTTAGACTGAAATAATTAGCACCTCATAGAAATTAGTGGATCTAACTGATTTTTGTGACATAATCGTTTTGAGGTCAGTAGCCATTTATATTCTCTCTCTCCCCACTCGCACCCTCTATCCCTAAAAAGGAAAGCAATGTCCTGAGAGGCAAGAACAGAAAGAAGTCAAGAAACCTTGGCCCAACAGAGGCCTCCTAGGTACACAGAACAGAGGGGATTGTGGTAATAGATTGACAACTGCAGGTCACAAAAGGACCCATGAGGTGTTCTAGACCGTGAGGGAAGCAAAGCCCCTGCAGACCCCAAGACCAAAAGTGAAACCTGTGATAAAACTGTCCCTCCCCCCACCCTCTATTCCAGGGTCTTCTAGGTTTGTCTGGATGGCTGGAGGAAGAGGAAAGAAAGAAGAAAGGAATGAGGCAGAGGTATAAAAAGAAACACTCTTGAGGAGGGAATAAGACAGTCAGCTCCCCAACCCCACTACAACAACTAATGGCTTGTTAGCTATTATGAGTATTTATGAGTTTTACTAACCTCTCACTTGCTCACTCTAAAACCATCGGATCAGCCTCAAAAGTCAGGTGCATCAGTAAAGCCAGGAAATCCTCACTGGGACTCTCATGACAAAGGACAATGGTGGAGGAGTCACCAAAATAGCAAATTCCCAGTCTCTTAACCTGTTGCTCACATGATTTACTTCCTTCCCCCACCCCACATATGTGTTGTCCTGACAGCTGCAGGACATTCTTATCCCAAGGCAAAGAAGATTCTACTGGGAGAGATGTAACATTTGGCTCCAAACTGACTGCGCTCCTTCAAGGTTAATGTGTGTGCACAGTGCCCACAAAGAAAACACCTTGGAGATGTGCTCAAAGCCAGTTAAAATTCCTAGATTCTAGTCTATCCCTGTGTCCCATCCATGGGAATAAAAACTAGCTCCCTTCTTTGTTGGAGGTCAGTTTGATACTCTCGTCAATGCTGTGTCTCCTGCACAAGAAAGATGAAAGAAGTACCAGTAAGAGTCTTGTTCCTCAAAAAGAAAGGAAGGAAAGGAAAAAGGAAAAGAAAAAGGAAAGTAGAAAGGAAAGGAGAGGAGGAATAAAGAAAGCCCAATCAATAAATGGGCCAAGGAACTGGACAAAAACTTCTCAGAAGAGGATATACAATCAATCAATAAATATATATATAAAAAAAATGCTCATCATCTTTAGCAATCAGAGAAATGCAAATCAAAACTACTCTAAGATATCATCTCACTCCAGTCAGAATGGCAGCTATTAAGAACACAACAATAAGTGTTGGTGAGGATGTGGGAGAAAAGGCACACTCATACACTGCTGGTGGGACTGTAAATTGGTGCAGCCAATATGGAAAGCAGTATGGAGATTCCTTGGAAAGCTGAGAATGGAACCACCTTTTGACCCAGCTATCCCACTCCTCGGTTTATACCCAAAGGACTTAAAAACTGCATTACTATAGGGACACCAGCCACATCAATGTTTATAGCAGCACAATTCACAATAGCTAAACTGTGGAACCAACCTAGATGCCCTTTAGTAGATGAATGGGTTAAGAAAATGTGGTATAGACTACAATCTGTACACGTGGGAAAAATAAGAATTCATACCCCATTTGAATCAAATGTATGATATATGATATGTCAAGATCATTGTAATGAAAAAAAAAGATCATTGTAATGCTTTCAGCAATAATAAAAAAAGAAAATGTGATATATATATATATATATATATATATATACACACACACACACACACAATGGAATATTACTCAGCAATAAAAACGAATAAAATCATGGCATTTGCAGGTAAATCGATGGAGTTGGAGAATATAATGCTAAGTGAAGTTAGCCAATCCCAAAAACAAATGCCGAATGTTTTCTCTGATATAAGGAGGCTGACTCATGGTGGGGTAGGGAGGGGGAGCATGGGAGGAATAGATGAACTCTAGATAGGGCAGAGGGGTGGGAGGGGGAGGGAAGAGGCCATGGGGGTAAAAACAATGATGGAATGAGATGTACATTATTACCCTAAGTACATATATGAAGACACAAATGGTGTGAATATACTTTATACACAACCAGAGATAATAAAAATGTGCTCTCTCTATATAATATGAATTATAATGAATTCTGCTGTCATGTATAACAAATTAGAATAAAAGATAAATTTTAAAAAATGTAAAAAAAAAATTTTTAAAAAGAGTCCTGTTCCAGTTGAAATTGTACCTTTATCTGATTCTAATGATTCAGAACACAAGAACCCACCAATCCTGTAACAAATGTGGTCACTAATACCACTTTCACTTAACTCCTTTAGTAGCATAAGGACTTTATTCTCACATCAGTATCACAACTTGAGTCTACTTTTGCTGTCTCCTTCTACTTAGATTCCTTATAACTTGTTTTGTGGCTGTGGAGGAACAGGCACCTGAGGTCAAGGTGGACTATTATACTAGTTTTTGCTTCTCCTTGCCTCATACCATGGTAAAATACAACTGATTTCTTTCCCTGCTTTGGGTACCTTCTCTTTGTCAGGTGGGCATGTGCTACATAGCAATATGCAGTCATACGCAGTAGTCATTCATTCTCTCCTGTAACAGTGTTGGATATACTGGCTCAATACACTGCAGTATCAGGATTCGTTAGCGTCCATCTGGGTGGCTCAACTGTACAAGCTCACATAGTTCTACTTGATGTATGACTTTTAGGGTGGGCTTCTTCTGATAGATGATCATACTTAGTCATAAACAGAACAATTTAGTCACCTTAAAAATGCTCTGAAGACCTAGAATGCCTGGCTTCACCACCTTCCTTCCCACCTGGACTCCAATTCTAATAACATTTGGTCTGAAGACCTGAAAGGATGATCCAGAAACATGTATTCAGAAACATCTATCCAACTTTCCAAGTTCTAGATGCTTCTGCTGACTCAGGCTTTGTAACCCCTACCTTCGGGCCTTAATCATACTGCCATATGCTCCATTTTTTCTACAGATGCCGGACCAGTCATTAACAGATGTGTATGTGAGAGGGCCCATCTGGCATGTCCATGAGGGTATCTGTGGACAGCTGTGTGCATCCAGGACTTGTTTTTTCTCACATCCAAAGGAAGCTCTGTTAGCTCTTCAGAGGCCTGGCCTATGGAAGCCTGTCAAAGATGTATTATAACAGGAGCAGTTTTATTTGCTCACAACCTTCTGGAACCACTAAGACTTTGTCTGTTTAAAAAGCTATCATTATAAAGAGAATACAATTAACTTTAAAAATATCTCTGATCGTGAAGTAAAATAAACAGATTAGCACAAATTCATGGTTCTATTTCTAGCTTTCTTTCTAAACAATAA